AGCCATGATAGCCTGTCCTTTAATCCTTACCCTTGAGTTCTCCACTTGTTCTTCTTTCACCCCTGGGCAGAGGTCCATGCATTGCACAACAAGTGCAATGTCTTACATAAAGAGCAACTCTTCCACCTTGCCTGCCTGGCCTGTCTTTTCTAACAAGCACATAGCCTTCCATGACAGGATTCCAATAACGTGAGTTATCACACCATGTCTCTGTGATTGCAATGAGATCACAACCTTGCAACTGTATGCAGATCTCCAGTTCTTCCTGTTTGTTTCCCATACTACGCTCATTAGTATACAAGCATTTCATGGAGTTGAAGTGCCATCTCTCATGTTGCATGTGTATATATAGAAGCACTTCAGATGTCTTTCATCAACTCAGCCCTTTGTGGGGCAGACTGAAGGGCCTCCTCAGCATGCAGTTCCTCAAGAATTGGTACACAGTCCCATAGCTTATCACTGGTGGGGCTGGTTTTGCCTCTCCCCCCCTTCAAATCTAGTTTAAAGTCCTGTCAATCAGCCCTGCTAACTCCTGGGCAAAAATCCTTTCCCCCATCATAGAAAGGTGCTCCCCGTCAGGAGTCAGGAGGCTCTGTGCAATGTAGAGCTTCCCATGATCAAGAAGCCCAAAATGGTGTCGGTGGCACCAGCCTTGGAGCCATGTATTTATCAGCTGGGTTTGCCTGTTCCTTCAGTCTTAATCCCCGCTATTGGAAGCATGGAGAAAAACACTACCTGGGCATTATCCTTCAGCCAATTGCCCCAAAGCCCTAAAGTCCCTTTTGACTGCTCTTGGGATTCTCTTTGCCACCTCGTCATTGCCAACTTGAAAAACCAATACAGGGTAATAATCAGAGGGGCATACCTGGAAAGTGATTGTCCAAGCGAAGTTTCTTATTCAGGGAGACAGCAGGCTTCCCTATAGGCTGGGTCTGGATGACAATCGGGCACTCTATTCCCTTAAGAAGGAAGTCCACTATGACAATAACACTTCTTTTTTCTTGGTGGGGCTTGTTGTGATGTGGGGTGTAGGTCAACTTGCCTGGGTGACTCCCCAGGTGTGGATGGACCATGATCCACCTTGTCATTTGCTTGCCCGTCAATTTCCAGAGCCTCATACCACAGGGTGCACAGGGGCACCTGGGAATATGAGGTAGGCAGCAGGGGGGGTTGTTTGCTGTGCCAAACAGGAACCTGCTTCCACTCCCCCTGGTCTGTTAGGTCCTCTCCCTCTGCCTGGAAATGGGCTAGGAGATCCTTCATTTCCTGCCCAGTGACTGGCTAAGGAGTCTGCCTCAGGGATAGCAGAACTCTACCCCACCAGCCAATCTCATTCTCTTACTCCATGATGCTCCTCTGCCTGCCCATGTCCTCCTGAATTTCTGTCACCATGTGAAGCAGTTCTTCAACCTGGGGAAACCTCCCACAGCTGTGCTCTCTACTGCCATCCTGTATCAGCGTAAGAGCAGGGCACACCCAACAGTCTGACACCTTGTTGGCAGCATGTTCCTCCCTGAACTCTGGGAAGCTGCATCAGCAGTGGTGGGTGCTGGGCTCCTGCAGGCCATGGCCTTCTGCCAGGTGGTCACCATTGTTGCTGGGACTAGCTGGCCAAGTTTCAGTGCCAAGTTTCAGGGGCTCAAACTGCAACACATACTGCCATGCCACATCCTGCTTGCCTGACCTGGTCACCATGCTCCTGCTCACTTGTTGCAATCCCTAGGGCCTGCCTTTGTACAGCAGAGGAGGGGCACTCCTGGCTCTGCCCATACCCCGTCAACCAGCCTTATGAGGGCTGCCGTGTCCTGGCGGCTCCATTGGCTACCTCAAGTGGCCTCAATGCAGAAAACCCTCTGCCCACCATGATCCCCCACTCTGCTGCAGAACACGTCTGCGCTGGAGCCAATCACCTTGAGGATCATCTAGTTCTAGCTCCCCTGCCATGGGCGGGGAGCTAGTACACTTTCCACCAAACTAGTCTGCCTAAAGCCCCACCCAACCAGGCCTTGAATACTGCCAAGGTTGGGGCATCCACAGCTTCTCTTGGGCAATCTATTCCAGTGCCTCACCACCCCTGTCACAGAGATTTTCTTCCTTATATCTAATCCAAATTTACTCTTATTCAGTTTAAACACATTACCCCTTGTCCTATCACTACACTCCCTTACAAAGTGTCCCTTCCCAGCTTTCTTGTAGTGCCCCTTTAAGTACTCAAAGGTTATTATAAAGTCTCCCTGGAGCCTTCTCTTCAGGCTGAACAACACCAACTCTCTCAGCCTTTCTTTGTAGGAGAGGTGCCCCAGTCCTCTGATCATCCTCAAAACCCTCCTCTGGACTCATTCTAATGTGTCCATATGCTTCTTATTTTGGGGACCCCAGAGCTGAATGCAATACTCTTGGTGGGGTCTTATGAAAGCAGAGTAGAGAGGAAGAATCATCTCCCTTGACCTGCTGGACACATTTCTTTTCATGCAGCCCAGGATACCGTTGGTTTTCTGAGATCCAAGTGCACATTGCCATCTAATGTTGAGCTTCTCATCAACCAACATCCCCTAGTACTTCTCCTCAGAGTTGATCTCAATCCATTCCCCACACAGCCTGTATTTGTGTGGGATTGCCCCAGCTCAGGTGCAGGACCTTGCACTTGGCCTTGTTGAACTTCATGAGGTTTGCACAGGCCCACCTCTAAAGCCTGTACAAGTCCCGCTGGTTGGCATCCCTTCTCTCCAGTGTGTTGACCACAGCACACAGTGTGGTGTCATCAGGAAACTTGCTGAAGGCACACTCTATCCCACTGTCCACATCACCACAAAAGCTGTTAAACAGTGCCAGTACCAATACCAAGCCCTAAGGAATATGACTCGTCACTGACTTCCACCTGGACATCAAGCCATTGTTCACTCTTTGAGTGCAACCATCTGACCAATTCTTTATCCTCTGAGTGGTTCATCCATCAAATCTATGTCTCTCCAATGTAGAGACAAAGATGTCATGTGGGACATTGTCGAAATGCTTTGCACAAGTCCAGGTATATAATATCTACAATTTGCCCTTAGTGAAGCTATATTGGCTGTCACCAATCACTTCCTTATTTTCTGTATGCCTTAGCATAGTTTCCAAAAGGATTTGCTCCATGATCTCAGATGGTTTCAAACAGGATAGAATTTATTTAATCAACTCATGAAAAAGCCTTTTCCAAATTCCACCACCATTTTCTCTGAGGTTTGGAATCTGTTGTGAGATGGTTGAATCCTTTTCTGCTAAAACGAAGAGTACATCACTTGTCTTTGGAAGTACCAAGTATAATATATGTATGGTTTGTTGATTACTGGCAGAATCTTAGAAAGCAGTATATTCAGTAGTCTGTTTTTTCATCATGATTAATATTGTGTTATGTTAGATGCTACACTGACATTCATTGCTGTCCTGAAAAAGTACAAAGTGAGTCACAGATTAAAAGTATAAAGTATATATAGTATAAAATATAAATATATCTATATATAAAGCATATAAGTATAAAGTGAGTCATAGATTAAATAATCCAGTTTTACGTATATGAATACAACAATTCAGAGATTCCTCCTCTGAATTTCAGAGCAGAACTGGGTATATATAAACAGAAAAAGTAGGGAAATTTAAGGTAATTTAAATGTATTTACTAAAAAAAAATAAAGGTTCATGTCTTTAGCAACACACTCTAACAAACCTTTTTTGTGCTGTCTATAACTTCCATGGTAATTTTCCATTTACATACAAAACAAATGCTCTTATTTGTAATTTCTCCTTAACATTACTTCTGAAGGATCATAGAAGTGTGGTAATTTTCAATGGTTTTTGGAACAAGAAGCTTCATTAAATAATAATAATAATAATAATAATAATAATAATAATAATAATTTTGAAAACTCTATAAAATTATGGGGAAAAAAAATAAAAAGATAATAAAACACTTTTCCTAACTCTAGGATTTCTTTTTCTTTGTCCTTGAAAGAATAAAATATTGTCCTCTTTATTAAATTTATTTTGGGCCAACTGATGAATGAAAATAATGAACAAATAACAAAAATTTAAGTGGCCAATCAGATATGAGATATTTTTATTATTTTTTTTTTTAATTTTAGACTCTATTTGCTTTTTTTTTTTTTTTTTGGTCAGAAATACTCTTGTATAAAGTTACAAATAACTACCATGGAATGCATTTCTTAAAAATGAACTGTTTCCAAACATAGGCGATTAAATAACCAATACCAATGACTGGTTTTACTATAGTTTTATTTGTCTTGTGTTCTATCTCTATGTTCTGTGTTCTATATTCTAAAGTTCTATGACACACCCACACATGAATATATATATATATTTGGAAATATACTTTTAAAAAGTATATTTCAGACAAACTTGCTGTTCCACTGAAATTAATTCTCTGCAGAGTAAAACGTATAGGATGTTGTTCGTTAAAAATCTTGGAAATATCTTGGAAGGAGAATAAACAGTCAAAGGAGATAAAAACAAACAAAAAACAATCCCACTAGGTTAAACAGTTTAAAGAAGAAGTGATAATTATTATTATTTGTGAAATCGCATATGGACATTTTCTCTTGAATTGTCACTCTTTTTTTTTTCTTTTTTTCTTTTTTTTTTTTTTTTTTAAGATATTTCCAAGATTTCCCCTGTTTAAAAGAATAAACTGGGGAGAAGAAAAACAAAACAGAGGAGGAAGAAGATAAAGACACAAATGGACAATGTTTTGAAATGCTCGTTGTGTTGTCACTTTATCTAATAGTATTCCAGGATATACTGGCTGACTGTGAAATTGACTGGGAAGGAGAAGGAACGGTAAGAGGATATATAAGTATTCTCCCCAAGGTTTTATTCCCACAACCTTCTCCCACTGAAAGGCTAGTTCACGCTAAGGAAGGTCCCTGGCCATACTCAGTCCGTAATTTTATAGCCACCTCCCTCCTTCCAGCTTTGTTCCCGAGAGCTCCCCCTTTTGTCCTCACCACTTTTCCAATGCCGAGGTTCTTGCAAGGAGAGGTGGTCGGACTCCCGCTGTGCAGCTGCAACAACACGACCTGCAAGTGAAGGAAAGGAGGCAGAATCGACCCTTTTACTGATCCAGTGATCCAAATTTTTTATGGATTAAAATGCATCTCGGTGTGAGCCAAACTGCAAAATCAGCCCCTTAATGTTTTACATTTTTCTTCTTTTCTTCTAATCAACATGTGAATAACAAGGAGCTTGTTCACACTATTTAAGGGTATACTTTTCATTAAAAGTCATATTTAGAGAATGATGTGCTCAAGCAAATTATGTCAAAGAAAAGTGTAAATATGAACTTGCAGTACTGAAGTTTTAGTTTTAGTATGAGTGAATGTAATACGATACGCTTCTTTTTGTATTTAAAATAAATTGCTAAACTAAACACACAATAATCATGCTAATTAAGATGAAGCTTTGTGTCTGTGCTTACCCGTCTTTGGTGTTTGTCTGTTTTCACATCCTTTTTTCTCCTCCTCATTGACATTCCAGACGTAAGCAAACATTCTTTACCTAAATCTGTGACCAAGTGTGGGCAATAATCTAACCTTTTCAAGAAGATAATGATAGTCTTATTCACCAAACAAACTCTCCCTGAAGATTACAAAGATAAACATTAGCACTGAAATCGATTCTGGTAACCTGTACCATCAAAGGCACCTTGTCATTTTTTCAAACAGCAAAGCATTATATTTGGTTATTGAAACCTATAACTTTATTAACAAGGCTGAAATTTTAATTTTCTCTTTCATGTAGCATTGTAAGAGATTTTCTAATATTTTTATATTCAGATTAGTGTATGAGGACCTATAAGGAGCTTTCTATGCTGATTTATTAGTGGTCTGAAGTCATGTAAAAATAATCTGAATCATTTCTAACATGCAATTGTCAACATCACTTTGCACAACACATCTCCACTGCTTTGTTTTGTTTTTATATACATAATGCCAATGTCATAGGCACTATCTGCAAAAATATTAAGTAAAAATTCAGGTGTGTCCTTACAAAATAGATATTACTCTCTAATTCTTGATTTGTTCCATTTAACAGATAAAAATTGTGTAATAAATCAGTTTAGAATTATTATTACACTGCAATTCTCACCTGGGAAAAATAATAATAATAATTTTTAAAATATCTAATTTAATTTGAAACAAATGAATTAATTTCTAGTTAGGAAAAAAAAAAATCAATTTGGTGTAAAAGAATTTACATGGAGACTACATTTTGGTAGCTATGCCAACCTAAGCAAGCACCTTCAGTTTCTGTTCTATCACATTACTTTTATGACTACACAGTGAACTGAATCAGGGAATCAATCTGGCTGAAAAATAACTATTTAAATCAATAGTCCACACCATGCTGTCTGCCTAAGAATAGAGGTGATTCAGAGTTTTCCAGCTTTAAGAAGGTTGTGCTAGGCCTTCAAGATTATAAAGTTTTACTCATTTCCTATGGTTTAGGAAGGAAGGAAGGAAGGAAGGAAGGAAGGAAGGAAGGAAGGAAGGAAGGAAGGAAGGAAGGAAGGAAGGAAGGAAGGAAGGAAGGAAGGAAGGAAGGAAGGAAGGAAGGAAGGAAGGAAGGAAGGAAGGAAGGAAGGAAGGAAGGAAGGAAGGAAGGAAGGAAGGAAGGAATTGAGCAACATAAAATGGAACTGGAGCAAGTTAAAGAGCCCCAGAATACCTGTGTGTTATCTACTTGATATTAAATTTAAGTTAGTTATACAATTTGTCTGAGCCACAGAAGCAAAAGTGGAGACAACTTTAGGCATGAAAATACAGTATTGAATAATAATATGAGTAGTTTATGAGTAGTTTAAAATAGAGTAGTTTATGCCATTCATTTATGACAGATTAAGAGTATTCTGTGTCTACCATAGTGGTCTGTAAATAAATCAAGTGCATAGAGTTTTACTACCTCCCTCTAAAAATGAGAGAAATCTGTTTCTGCACATATAGGTGTGATAGAGATTTTCACTTTATAATTTTTTAGTAATAGGATTCCTATATCTTCCTTTGTTTGTCTTTTGGTTTAATGAAAATATTTTTTTTCCTGAAAATCACATAAATATACTTTAAATGTTTGTATGATATTTTACATAAACTACCCCAAACCAATTTTCCACTGATCTTTTACAGATGCTAAAAATATTCACTCTACCTTGAATGCAAAGCTGTCAGGTTAGATATGTTAAGTTCTGCTCAAAAAAAAAAAAAAAAAAAAAAAGTTCTAAGTTTGTTTGAAAAAAGAGCATTGGGATTGAACATCTTAGGTTGGATATTGGGAAGAACTTCTGAGAGGGTTGTTAGGCATTGGAATGGGCTGCTCAGGGAAGTGGTGGAGTCACCATCCCTGGAAGTGTTTACAAGATGTTTAGATGTTGAATTTAGTGACATGGTTTAATGGAGGACTTGTTAGTGTTAGGTCAGAGGTTGGACTCGATGATCTTGAGGTCTCTTCCAACCTAGACAATTCTGTGATTCTGTGATTCTGTGTAACGTTGAGAAAGAACATTGAAGAGGCAGGTGATAAAATAGAAAAAGATTTTATATTAAATGAAAATGAATGAATGAATGATTTTTACACACTGTAAATCACAAAACTGTTAACAGTCACAATCACATTTCACTGTAATGTCAATTTATTGGAGTTGCTTCAACTTTTAGTCCTTTAAGATAAAGCAATTTTTTGTTCCATAGTGAAACTCATTCCTTAGTACCTTCTCAACTGTTTAACTCTTGCAATGTACTTGCACTTATTTAGCAAGTACAAACAACAACAAACATGGGCTGGGTCTACAGTTTGCAGCTTCTGGCTCTTAGTCCTATTGCAATTTGAATAATGCACAAAGTACATGGCAACTTCTCTTTGTACCAGAAGCTCGGAAGAAACTGGGTGCTGTGACAGAGAAGAGGTTAGTAGATGTCTATTGTATTAAAAACTTAGACCTGTTTTCTTTGAGGCCAGCTGCTGAACAGTATCCACCCCAGCTAACCATGTTTGTTCTGTGACTACAGAAAGAAGGTGGTGGAATAAAATAACTATACCTCTACAGGAAGAAACATGAAGCAACCATTTAAGTGAGGTTCCCTGCATTTTAGGCATTGGTGGTTGTTGCAGTTTGGAAAAAAAAAAAAAAAAAAAAAAAAGTATGGTGTCAACTATGGTCTGAAAAACAGCAAAATATTTTATCTCACTGAGATCTCATATCTAACTGAAACCAGGACACAGTGGTTGTTTTTTGTTTGTTTGTTTGTTTGTTTTGTTTTGTTTTGTTTTTCCTCTCTCTTTCTTTAGAGAAAGGAAAATACCTTCTTAAACAGGGGCAACATATGAAAATAATACACATGGTTTGGGGAACTTGATTTATTTATTTATTTATTTTTAATGTTGATGTGAAAAATATCTATAGTCATGCACTGCTAAAAACAGGGAACGAAGGGTGGAGTTGAACTTCACTGTAGAGTATTTTCCACTGGGGACTCCACTGGCATTCAGTTGTCTCATTTAATTATCACTTTCCCGATTCAACCATTATTCATGAGCTTCCTTGTGTTCTTAAAAAGCTCTGAGCTGTGCTTGCCAATGTTATGGCATATTATGAAGCAGAGTTATGCAGCAAGAGGGAGGGGGTGATAATGCATTGGTCTATATTGCTGGCATGTTTTCTGTTTGAAGTACTCTGCTGCCAGCAGAATGCGGAGTTCTTTATTCAAAATCTACTGCTGTTATTTAAGCATTGTGCTAGTATTACAACCCTTTGTATTGCTTAGGTAAAATACAGCAAGATGGATTTGAACAATACAGAAGTAGTATGAATCATTTGTGTGAAGTTTACACTGGTTTTCATTTGCCTGCATTTCTCTTTTGTAACAGTGTAAAAAGAAATGTACAGAGAGAAAAGTTCCTAACAGATGCAAACAGAATATACCCGGGTAGGTCTGAGATGAATTTTAATTGGCATCAGTTTTATCCATACATAAAATGGAAGTATACTCATCTTTCTTAAGGACCTCTCAGCCTAATTTAAATGTATATATATATATATATATTTTAATCTGAATTATACACTGCCAATTTACAAGGTTTAGATTTCTACTAAAATTATGTATGTCCAAGATAGTCAGAAAGGCTAAAATAAAAATAGCTGTTCTCCAAATGCGTCTCAAATCATGTCATACCTAATTTAAAGGAGGGGGTGCGGAGTGTAACCAAAATTGTATAAATTCTGTTCTAAACCACTGAGTTTAATTTATAATAGTAACAATCCTGAATAAATCAGTCATTAATGAAGTTAACAGCCAGTTTGCTAGAGTGTTATCTGCCCTTGGCTTTACCCTAGGCCATTAAGTCAAAAACCATCACTTGTTAATAAAGATGAGTTTTTTATTATTATTATCATCATTTTCAGAATTATTGCTTAAATACAGAATTGGCATTTCATAAGCACATATATAAACTTCAGGACATGGTTAAGTGGATTATTTTTTTATTTAAAGAAGGATTGTTAGTATTTTTTATTTTCAGATGTGGAAAGCAAAAACAGGAGAAAAGCTCAGTGGGATTCTTAGCTGTCTTGCATCAAATATACATGTATGTGAGAGTAAAAGCTGATTCTCCCAAATTCGTGCTGGGGTGGAAGGAAATAAAGACCAACAGTTTCTAAACAGCCTGGCTGAAACAGTTATTATTCCAAATTCCTCTTTCAAACATGCAGATTAGTTTACTTTAAATGAAACTATGAGGTAGTTTGAAATGAGATGCAGCTCCAGTAAATTCACCAGAGTTGCCTTTAACTCAGTGGCAAACAAGTTTGAATTTGGCAGCAAATTATACACTGACTGAATATTTACAAATTCTGCAGTCTTCTCTTAGTCGAAACTTTCATTAATTTCAGTGAGAACAGGAATATGACATGAGTGGGAGGTTGCCTGAATAAGCATTATTTTCATATCTAAAGCAATTAACACTACTATGAGCTATGAATGAAAAAAACAGGCCAACATCTATTCAGAATTACATTGGTGTAACTAAG